TAATTTTTCCACGAGTAGTTGTAAATTGGCTGTGTCCACGGGAGGAGGTGAGTTCAGAGTCTGCCTACGCCGCCATCTTGACTCCGCCTCCTGTTTTTTTATCCATTTAGCCACCCTATGTCTTTTGATTGGAACATTTAGTCCATTGATATTTAAAGTAGCTCTTGATAAGTACTTACTTATTGCCATTTTGTTACTTTTTTTCTGGGTGTTTTAGTAGTTCTCTGTTCCTTTCTTCTTCTCTTGCTCTCTTACCTTCTGATTTGATGGCTTTCTTTAGAATTATGTTTGGGTTCCTTTTTCTTAAGTTTTTGTGTATTTATGTAGGTTTCTGTTTTGTGATTACCATGACATTCATATATAATAACCTGTGTAAATAGGAATCTATATTAAGTTGATGGTCTCTTAAGTTTGATCTCTCACTAAGAGCCCTACTCTTTTTATTCCCCTCCCCTCACATTTTATGTTTTTGATATCATAGTTAACCTCGTGTGTGTGTGTATCCCTTAACCTCTTCATGGAAATAGACGATTTTAGTACTTTTGTCTTTCGACTTTCATAGTAGCTTCATAGGTGGTTGATCTGCTACTTTTACTGTATATTTGCCTTTATCGGTGATTTTGTTTTTCCTTTGATAATTTTCTTATTCCTATTTGTAGTCTTTTCTTTTCCACTTAAATAAGTCTCTTTAACATTTCTTGTAAGGCCAGTTTATTGGTGATAAACTCCTTAGTTCTTGCTTGTCTGGAAAACTCTTTACCTTTTCTTCTGTTCTGAATGATAACCATGCCGGGCAGTGTATTCCCTTGGCTGTGGCTTTTTCCTTTCAGCACTTTGAATATATCATGCCCTTCTAGCCTATACGGTTTCTGCTGAGAAGTCAGCTGATAGCCTTATGGGGTTTCCTTAATATGTAACTTGTTGCCTTTGTCTTGCAGTTTTTTGATTCTCTCTTTATCTTTAATTGTTGACATTTTAATTATAATGTGTCTTGGTGTGGGCCTCTTTGGTTTCACCTTGTTTGGTGCTCTCTGTGCTTCCTGTACCTGGATATCTGTTTCTTTCCTTAGGTTAGGAAAGTTTTCAGCTATTATTTCTCCAAATAGAGTCTCTGTTCCTTTGTTTCTTTCTTCTTCTTCTGGGAAACCTATAATATGGACATTAGTGTGCTTGATGTTGTCCCAGAGGTCCCTTAGACTGTCCTCATTCTTTTTAATTCTTTTTTCTGTTCAGCTTGGGTGAATTCCTCTACTCTTTCTTCCAGCTCGCTGATGCGTTCTCTATCATCTACTCTGCTATTGAGTCCCTTTAGTGAATATTCCATTTCCATTATTGTATTCTTCAGTTCTGAATGGTTCTTTTTTATATTTTCCATTTCTTTGTTGATGTTCTCACTGTGTTCATCTAATCTTCTCCCAAGATCAGTGAGCATCCTTATGACTAATAGTTTATATTCTTTATCAGGTAGATTGTTTGTCTCTGTTTTGTTTAGTTCTTTTTCTGAAGATTTGTCCTGTTCTCTTATTTGGAACACATTCTCATGTCTCCTCATTTTGCCTACTTCTCTGTGCTTATATCTACGTATTAGGTAGATCAACTACATCTCCCAATCTTAGAGAGGTGGCCTTACGTAAGAGATGCCTTATGAGGCCCAGCAGTGTGCTTCCCTCTTGTCACCAGTTACAAATGTTCTAGGAGTGTCCCCTGTCTGCCCTTCTGTTGCAGCGGGGTTGCTTTTGCTGCAGGTACATGGGGAAGCTAGGCTGGCCCCCTGGCCAGCTGGTTCTAAGGCTCAGCAGCGTGCAGCTGCTACAGTCACTTTAGTCACTTTACTGGGCAGGGGGAGCCCCAGCACAGCTGGCTGCAAGGTCTAACAGCACACACCTGCTACTGTTTTACTGTTAAGTGAGTCAGGCCCCCAGCGTGGCTGGCTGCTAGGCTCAGGGGCTCACAATTGCTGCAGGCCTCTGGCCTGTGAGGCTGTTGTCAGCCCTCTCAGGAACATAGCTGGGTGGGGCTGGCCCCATGCATGCCAGCCCACAGTCATTTCAGGTGTTGGAAGGTGGAGCAGATCTCTTATATGGCTGCCTGAGAAGGCCCACAGCACAAATCAGCTGCAGCTGACAAGCCCCACTGCCTGCTGCCCGCACACCCCATCAACGCAGTCCTGTCTCACGCACATGCCTCACCCTGCCAAGGAGGACCCACTCCTTAATCCTGCCCTGGCTGAGCTGGATTAAATTGGTGCTCCAGTGGGTGGGGTAAACCCCTGCGCTAACAGGCCAGGGGAAGAAATCAAATGGCATCTGCCAGTGTCTGTGTCAGCACACCTGTATGTACTAGGTCACAATAATGGCTGCGTCCAGTGTCTCAGTCCCTCGGGGGGTGGTCCCACCAGCCTCCTGCCTCTCTGAGATGTGCTCAGAGCTTATCAAGTGAGTCTCTCTTACCAAAGGACTGTGCACTTCTCTTTCTAGTGATTTTGTGTTGGTTTCTGGAGCAGGTGAATTTGTGCATGGGCCTTTTAAGAGCAGGCTTTTCTTTCTCTTATGTTCGATAGCTTCTCTGGGGGTATTCCCTGTTGGTTTTAATAGCCAGCAAAGCCAGATATTATAACACTTGTCTTGGTTGTGCTGAGTTCAAAAGCTGCTTATTGTGGCAGAGCTCTCCTGCTTGGATCCCCCACACCTCCAGGAAAAGCTTTGTACCTTAAGATTGTTCCTGGCCGTGAAGTGCCGCAGCTAGAGTGTGGCTTTTTCTTCAGCGGAAAGGTATTTCTGCCTCTTCCACCTCTGTCAGTGCTGTCCTTTGTTGTGTAGGTTCTTTTTATCCAGTTTCCAGTGCTCTCTCGGAGGTAATTCTTCCACAGGGAGTTGTAAATTTGTTATGTCCATGAGAGGAGGTGAGTTCAGAGTCCTCCTATGCCGCCATCTTCCCAGCAACCTCCGTTCCTTATTCTTTACCCTATAAAAGCTTCCTTCCTTCCACACCATTCTGCACTTCTCTGGACTCTTGGGAATGGAGACTGCTGACTTCATGAAATGAAGTTTGTTTGTATCACCTAAATCGTCTTCTTTAATCATTTTTTAACACCATCGTGCAGCTGGCTTTTCTTCTTTCATCAACTTAAGTCTTTCTCCCCGACCCATTCACTTTGTATGAACCCCTCATACAAAAGCCCAGTTTTTTCTCCTTCTCTCTCTCCTGCTGTTTCTGTTCTTGGTGAATTGTGAATTCTGGGATTTTGAACTAAGAGACACAGCACTAAGAGCAACTGCTGTCCACCAATTTGTAAGGGAGACCTTTCAAAGACTCGAACATAATACTCTAAGTTCTGCACCCTTGCTGTGGAAGGACCCCAGAGGTGGGCTGGTTCTTAGCTACAGCTTGGGCTGTTTTAACTCTTTCTGGAATTCTATAAGACTTCCAAGCATATTTCCAATGATTTTTCCCAATATTTTCTTTTTTATTTTTACCTCAATATGATTAGGTTCTTTTATGCAGCCAAATGAAATCTTAACTGGTTATGGCTTCCCCAGCAAAACGGTCAGAAATCAGTTGGGGAGATCCAGCCAAATCACTTTACCTATCTCCTGGACCAAACGGTAGCTAACAGTTTTCGAGTCTATGAGATACTGTATATTGTTTTCAAACTGTATTTTAAAATGTTATTTAATCCAGATTTTTACTAATTTAAACCAGTTCATCAAATTTATCTCAATTACTCAGCTTCATCATGTACATTTATAAACGAATATAAAGAATGCATTCAGTTACCCATTATTGTTTCTGCTAGATACTTAAATCAAGTATGCGATAAGGGAGGTCTAGTTTTTCAGACTACACGGAGTGGTAAGAGCACATTACACATTAGCAAAGATATCTTAATCCTAAGGCAACTAATTTTCAGGCTGAGACTTGTGGACTTTATCAAAATAATTTACGTTCTGATAGTGAGAAATGAGCTCACGCAACCCTGGAGCTGAGACTCTCCACAGGGATGGGAGTGAAATGGGATTTCCTTCAAGATTTTCTGTGTCATGTAAGGCTCCTGATCTTTCTGCCACTGGATTTTACATGTATTTCAGGGAGCTCAATGAAGTAGTGACTTAGGGAAGGAGCACCTGCTTTTCCATATTAAAACTCAGTCTTATTTGAAGTATTTTTCAGAGCTACAGAAATAGATTTTTGTTTATATTTTTTAAGCCAAATAGAAAAGGGGAACTTTTGCAAAGTATGTACTCAAAAAAAAGGTAAATTATTACTTGCCATTTCCAGACACTGTAATCTCTTATTTAGTTTACTTTTTACTAAATAAATAATAGAACAGAGCGAAAAGGACACAGCTTAACAACTACTTCAAACCAAACTGGACAAATTCTTACAATAACATTAGGACCCCCAAGAAATCAGTTCCTGAGCAAACCCTTAGACTCATAGATTAAAAAAAACAAAACAAAACTGCTATACTAACACTTTACATGTAATTTTACTGTGATTTTTTTTTGTTTCAGAGTAGGCTTCCATTGTTATAAATTAGTAGGAGCAAAAGGTTTTTTTCCCAGTATTTTTCATTACTAGAAAAACTGTCTAAGAAAAATAACATTATCACTATGAGAAAGACAGTTAAAAACATTTTTCATCACCAGGCTGTATTTTGCAAAAGAAAGAAAACCACAATCACAGTGAGCTTTTAATGTTCATCTTTCCTTTTATCCAAAGAGAGACAATCTTTCGATAAATGTAATCCTCAAGACTTGAAGGAGAAGTAGGCTATCAGAGATGAGACCAGGGAAAGAAACAATCAGGATAATTCCGTGATGGCTCCTGTTAACCTATATGCCTGTTAACATCTTTTCTATGATTATTTTCCTTATCTGATACAGGAGTATCAATTTAAAATGAATTTATTCAGTGAATTACATACCCTGGACTCTGCATCATCTTCTTCTTCATCAGGATTATAAGCTTCTGCACACACTATAAAAATAAAAACAAACATTTTAAAGATTCTTTCATCAAGAAACATACTATAATAACTATATCTTTAAAAATCAATGAACGAAAAGAATACCATGGTGTAAAAAAAGCATTAATTCACCTCATCCATGGCAGGCAGTCTACCTCCAAAAACTGGTTTCCTACTGCAATTTATAAGTAATTTATTAAAATATAAAGCTGTATTTTAAGATGCTGATACCTGCTTTTTGCTTTTTCTTATTCAGAGAAACAGAGCTTAAACTTTTCTACCTTCATTTCCAAGCTACAGAAATGCATAAGATCTAAAAATTACCTAAAAGAACAGACACCCAAAAAAAGTCTAAGTCTGCCATGAAATGACCAATTTAATTATATAGTTATGAGTAACTTTCACAAATTACCCATAATCCAATCTTCGAGGAGCAAATACTATCCATATTTTGCATATTCCTTTCCAGGCTTTATTCAGAGTTGAGCTTATATTACATATGCAATTTTAAAACCTATTTTTTTCATTTAACACTGTAAGAATTTTGCATGCCACAAGAAACATTTTGTAAATATTGTTCTAAGGGCTGCTTATTATTTATCATAAGCTGTAATTAATCACTCCCCTAATGCTAGACATTTAGCTGGCTTCTATTAAAACAACCTTGCAATAAACATCTTCATGCATAAATACTTGTCTACATTTCAAATTATGCCGTAGGAATTATTTCCAAATGTTATTTTGCGGGCTAACAGGTATGACAATTTTTAAGGCATACTTATCACTGAGTTTCTCTCCAGAGTGGTTGTACCCATCCACTGCCCTACAAAGAACGTGTCAGAAGACTGTAAACTGTACAACGGAACTGGATGTTATTGCTTAAAATCTTTGCCAACTTATATGAAAAAAGGATTAAAAATTTTTAATTGTTATTGAATTTGAAAAATTTTCAAATGTTTTTAGGTTGACTCTATTTCCTCATTTGTCCTTATGTATGGGGAATTTATGTACGTATTTGGTGTTTTTTTTTTTTTTTGAGGAAGATTGGCCCTGAGCTAACATCTGTTGCCAATCTTCCTCTTTTTCTTTTTTCTCCCCAAAGCCCCAGAACATAGTTGTACATCCTAGTTGTAGGTCCTTCTAGTTCTTCTATGTGGGATGCCGCCTCAGCATGGCTTGATGAGCGGTGGTGAGTAGGTCCACCCCCAGGATCCGAACTGGCAAACCCTGGGCCACTGAAGCAGAACATGTGAACTTAATAACTGCTACGCCATTGGGCCGGCCGCCCCCCCAACTTTCTTTTTTTTAAGAAACCTTTTTTTTTTTCAGGGAAAGATTCGCCCTGAGCTAATATCTGTTGCCAATCTTCTTCCCCGCCCCCACCCCCTGCACTCCCCAAAGCCCCAGTGCATGGTTGTATATCTTAGTTGTAAGTCCTAGTAGTTCTTCTATGTGAGCTGCTGCCACAGCATGGCTACTGACAGATGAGTGGTGTAGTTCCGCAACCAGGAACCAAATCCAGGCTGCCACAGTAGTGAGAGCGCCAAACTTTAACCACTAGGCCATCAGGGCTGACTCTATACCAGTTTCTTTTCCTTTTCTTTCTTTTTTTTTTTTTTTTTTGCTGAGGAAGATTTGCCCTGAGCTGCCAATCTTCCTCTTTATTTTACGTGAGCTGCCACCAAAAACGCCCCAGCACGGCCACTAACAGACGAGTCATGTAGGTCCATGCCCGGGAACCAAACCTGTGCCACCAAAGCGGAATCACTAGGCCATCAGGGCTGGCCCTATACCAGGTTCTTAATACTACTTTGTCTGTTATATTTCTCACAATTGTTTTATCCAGTTTGCTTTTTAACTATAATTACAAAGTTTTTACAGATTATGCATGTTTGTTTATTTTTAATGTAGTGAGATCATGGAAGAAAATTCCCCAATATGACTTAAACCCACTGTTAAACATCACAAAAGAACCACTGCTTTTGAGCTTGGAAACCTTTCCTTTATTTGCAAATCTAAAGATTTGTTACTTTTCTTTTAGTTTTCTAAAGGTAGATTTTTTTACATTTACTCTTTAATCTCTATGGACTTTATTCTGACATAGATGTAGAAATTTAAAGAACAGAGGCCAGGCTGATAAATGTCTTTTATGGGGCCTCAGGATGGCACCAAGAGTATCAGCATCGTTAGCACTGCCGTTACATTATTATAAAACCTGGGGCTAGCTTTCTGTTCCCCAGACACTGCTCCATGTACCTAGACCAGCGATTCTTACCTAGGGCCAATTGTGCCCCAGAGAGGACATTTGGCAATGTCTGGAGACATTTTGATTTCACAACCGTGAGGGTTTAAGGAGAAGCTACTAGCTACTGGGCAGGGGCGGGGAGGCCAGAGATACTGCTAAACCTCCTACAATGCACAGGACAGCAATCCCTCCCCACAACAAAGAATTACCTGGCCCAAAACGTCAATAGTGCTGAGGTTGAGCATCCCTGACCTAGTGCATATTTCTCATTCCATCTCACAACAACCCTAAGATAGGTGTTAAATCACTACGTGAGAGAAGAGAGGCTAGGGCATAGAGAGGTTATGTATCTTGGCCAAGATCACACAGGATTGTCTGGCTGGCTCCAAAGCCCTTCTTCTTAACACTCTTCCGCACTTGACTGCTTTGGTGTACTCCCCAGCACAATGCTGGGCCTTCAGCCTTCTGTCTCAGAATCTAACAGAAGGGGACCTGTCTCTCAGGGGCGGGCTCCCATTAAAGAGCCTCACTGATGCGCAGCACCAGAATGCCAAATGAGTAACTAACTTCCCGAATGAAGTATGGAGTCAGCATGACCTGCCAGCTCTCTCCCTGCAGGAAGACCACAGAAGAAGCCAAATCACAATTACAAGGCTGCTTGGTGAGAAAGAAATGGGAGGAAGAGAGTTTGCCAAATAAATTGAACGTTTAATGGCATCCGTCTGAGACAGCCTGAGGCACTCGCATACACAATCCAGAAGGTCCTGCTGATGTGGCCCTGACACTTTGTGTTGGCTTCAACTCTCCAAAAGGCATGAGTACATCTGTGTCTAAAGCTTGGCTCTCTAACTTTCTGTTTCTGTGGATGACCAGCCTCACAGGGAAGACTGCTACATAATTTGCAGGGCTCAGTGCAAAATGAAAACATAGGCCCCACAATGACAATTAAGTATTTCAAGAGGGCAACAGCAGAACATTAAACCAAACTCAAGGTCCTTGTGAGCGTGGGGCCCAGGAAGTCAGCCATGCTCTGGGATCAGTCCATTCAATGAGGTGACCCAGTAGGCAAGATATCTGGTTCTTTAAGGGAACTTGTTATATATATATAGCCTCTGACCCATTAATGTTGATCTTAAATTTTAATTCACAGAGGGTAATCTTAATCCTCTAATTTCTAAATTTCAAGCCCCTAAACTCTGACTAAAAATCATCGAGAGTAAGAATCTATTATTTTTCTAAACATCTCACCAATTATCCCAGTATTATTTAACACCTTTCTGATGTGTGATACCTACTTTATCACGTGTGTGTGTGTTTGTTTCTGGGCTATCCATTTCATTGAACCATTTATTGTGCCAATATTACAAGGTTTACTTCTTGGCATTTATGTGCAATTGTTTCACTATATTGAAATTCATCAACTACCCCCCTCCTATACCCAAATCAAAACACAGCATTTGCAGTTTTGTACATTGCCGTGGTGACTCACACCTTCTTCTCTTCCCTTACACTGTTTCCTCTGATTGGAATGCCCTCCACATTCTCCTCTCCAATCCATCCCTTCTCTCCAGCCCCAACTAAAAAGCCAGATCAAGAGTCACATGTTCACCTCACACCTACACAGAGCCTATTCAGGAAACCCCACTTTGGTGCCCCCTTTGCACTGTCCCAACACTGGGGGCAGAGCTCATTAGGATCACTTACCACACCTTACTAAAGATGTTACTGTCTGTTCGCCCCTCCAGGCCCAAACTTGCAGCCCTTCAGGGACTGACTGTGTGCTCTCGTTCATTTCTATATTTTCCTAGCACTGACCTGTTGCACTGCCTGGCTCAATGCACAATATTTGAATGAGTGACTGACTGATGAACACACAAGCTTGCAAGGTCCTTGGGGGCAGAGATGATGCCTCTTTTAAATATCCCCCAATAGTCTACCTGTATCATAGACTCTCAAACAAACAGAAGTAGAATGAATGAATGAATGAATAGTTGTTCTTTGTTAAAATGCCCTACACTGTTTGTCCAAGAAATGCAGACAGACAGGATGAGTGAAAATGAGGACCTTTTGTCTTGTCACCAAGGGGCCTGGCACAGGGATTAGGAGCTCAGTAAATATCTGTACAATGAATGGAAGGCTCTATGCCTGGATGGACCCTCAAACCAAAGCCTCCAGATAACTTGAGCTGCCTCATATTCTTTCTGAAATGTATTCACCCCATCCCTCCTGGGCAGTCTAAAATTGAGCGTGAAACTGTATACTCCATTCTTTGTTTGGCAATTACCCAGTAGTGAGGGACAAAGTCTTAAAGTGAACCCTATACTGAGGTTTTCCTGTTATGTTGTTGTGGGAGATCAAGATTTGGCCACCCCGAAATATATCTCTTTACCTTGATTGTTTTCTCTGAGGAACATTTGACCTCCCCCACTAACTGCCTAAAGAATTTGACATGGTGACTCCTTCCTGGAACAGATCTTCTATCATGATGGCTGTAAAGATAATGTAGGATAGAGGTTACAATAGGAAAGGCACCAAGCCCCTTTTATCAAAAACTCTGTCTCTCCCTGACCACATTATCTATAGATGACCCTGAAAAGAATTGTCTTCCTGCCCTCTGAAGTCCC